GGGCCCAGGCCCGGCCCGGCCCGCCGCGCGCGGGGAAGGAGAATCGCGGTTTTGTTTGCACGGAGGACAGCGACAGCTTCCTCAGGCTGTCGCGGGGTATTTTTAGTACCTCCGATTCCGAAATAGGAACGCGCACATTAGAATTCCATTTCCTGAAAGGAGCCGTCCTCGATTTTGTGTTCCTCCCTCCCTCCCCCAGTCTGGGAAGCGCAGCCAGGGAGGGGACGCGGAAGCGGGGGGATTTAAATGTTACCTCCTTCTGGCTGCAGCTCGCTGCGGGGAGACTGGGACCCAAATGGATATGCAGATTTAACTCGGAAGTCACCCTGCGCGCTACAGACCCCGGGAACCCCAGGGCGGAGAGGGCCTGGAGGCCGCCGGTGTGGGCGCCTCGCTCCTCTTGGGGGTCCGGACCCCTGAGGCTGAGCGGGGTTCGGGGTGGGTACCGTCTTCTCGAGCTGTGGCCCTTCGGTTTCGGGACAGCTCTGCCGCTCTGGGTGAAAGCCGTCACGATCTCCCTTTTCCCAGGAGGGTCCCTTTCAGGGGCTCCCTGGGGACCAGGGAGGGACTGGCAAGCTCGCCTTCTAGACAGCTCCAGAACTTCGGGCGAGGCAGACATCTCTCTCAAACCTAGCCTCCGCCTCCTCTCAGAGAAGCAGGAGAGGGAAAGTTGGCTTGCATATGGAAACCATGGTTAAGTTCTTCTCTTAAAAAGAAAAATGTGGCACACTCCTGTAACCCTAGCGTTCTAGAGGCTGAGGCAGGAGGATCTACGTGAGCTCCAAGCCAGCCTGGGCCACATAAGTGTGTTCAAGGCCAGCCTGAACTATATAGCAAGACCCTGTCTCCAAAAAATCACAAAACCAACAGGAAGAAAGAAAAGAGAAAAGAAAGGGCAAGCACATAGGGAGAGACCTTCCCCACCATCATCAGGCCAGCGAACTTTCTTTGAGGAAGTCTTCTGAAACAAGTGTCGCAGAAGAGAGGTTCAAAGGTCCATCCATCCCCTTAAAGTGGAGAAATTTGTTTCCAGACTGATTGTACTGAAGAGGAGTGGGAGCTGTTTCCTTACTGACTGGGAGCGCAAAGAAACTAAAGTTCACAGGTAGAGTAGGAGGCATTTCTCTCTGGGACTGCTCATCTCTGCAAGAGGCCCGTGGCCGTGGGTCTAACCTGTTCAGCGTTCCCTGCACACACCACCCCATTGAGGTTGTTTGCTCAGGACTTGATTGCTACTTAACCTTCACACAGCTTTCCTCAATCCATCTCACCTGAGAAGGTGTTATTTCACATCGGATGGTAATTGTAGGTAAACAGTTCTGCATCTATTAGACTTAGATCAGCTTTCCTGGGCTGGAAGTCACTCCTGGGTTTAGGGTGTCTGTTTCTCTCAAGCGTGGGATTCAGGGAAGGATTCTTCCACCTGAAAAGTCATGCCGGGAGAAAAAGGACCTTCTGCCTGAGTTGGTAAACACCTTGCATAGCCAGCACATACTCTGAAGCCAATGCAAGCCCACCAGTAACATCTTATTGGAACCCTTCTTAGTGTGCATCGGAATTAATGGGTGAAAGGCTCTGTTTTCTGATTTTTTTTCCTGCTTAATACTAAACTGTTTGCATGACTCGTGGTTTACAATATTAATAAATGACTTAAACAAGGTAGTCATCAGCTGCATATTAATATTCTAACCTTGATTAAATTGAAGGGGCCACCCTGAAATTTTTTTTAAAAAATCAAATTGCGGGGGAGGGGAATCCTGTCACAGACACAAAAAAGGCTCCAATTATCTTTTCCCCACAAGATGTTTGTTCTGTCCATGACTGCTCACACTTCAGCAATCTTGCCAGCAAGACTCAAAAAAAAAAAAAAGCCTTCTTCCAAAGCCACAGCCTTGTACACAACAGATTGTACAGTCCTATTGCCTGAGGCGGGTTAGAGGTTCCTCTCTGTAAAGAGTGACACGGAGAAGTTGCCAGCATCCAGACACGTTTGGGGGGCATGGTGCTGGCTCTTGCCTTGGCTGCAGAAGTGGGTCTCCAGGGGCCCTGTTTTGCTGTATGGCCCAAGAGGAGGCAGAGGGCTCCCAGAGCCAAGGCCAAGAGTAGCTGCAACCAGGTGCCCAGGTGCCCAGGTGGTAAGTGGGCTGGGGCAGAGAGGGGAAGGGGCTGGGAGAGGAGGACGGGAGGCTGCCAAAGACGGACTGTAGTCTTGAGAAAACGCTGGGAAATAAACAACCTCAAGGCAGCTGCGTTGCCCTTTTCCCTGCACTTCCCTCTCAAACGTCTGAGCAACCAGTTTGCTCCTAGAAACATGTTAATTGCCAACGGAGCTCATTAAGGCATGCACATGCAAAACACAGCAAGAAAGATTAAATGGACAAAAGCGCAATAATGAACTGTCAACAATCGGGCCCATCTACGAGACCAGGATCACTCAAGAATGAGGCATTTAGAGGCAACAAAGGATTGTCTGGGACAGGAAGAAAAGACGACCTAGACTTTTGTTTAGTCAACACAATTGATTACAAATGAGAGATTAACAGGATAGCTTCAGATTTTTTTTAAAAGAGGCAGAAAAGAAAAGTCCAATTAAGTCCACCGAATGTTAACTACATTGCGTTCCATGCCTAGCCCCAAAGAAATTCTCATTAAACCATCCCTGGCGATCCCTTTTGGAAAGTAATTTGTCTCCCTGATGGAGCAGAGAAAGAGAATCGTGTAAAAGAAAGCGTTAGTTCTTGGCACAATGAGCTTAGGAGACACACTAGAAAAGAGCCAAAGGGGGAGTTAATGAGCATCTGACAAACTGCTTGGATTCAGGCCTAGAGAACAGCGATGAAAAGATGAAATTGGCCAACAACTATTCTTTATATCAAACATAAAAAGGCCAATCTGAAATGGGGCTGCTCAAAACTGGTTGAAAGTACATAGCTGGAGAAAAGGGAGCCGTGGCCAGGCCCCTTGGTGGACAGTGGACAGACAGTGTGAAGAACTCAGCAGGCCAAGAGTTAGGAAATAAGCTGGAACGGGAGCCGTCTTGGGCGCAACAAACTTCTGCTACTGGGCTCTGCGGGCTCTGGAGGGACTGATTTGAAACTCTTGCTCC